TCAAATCATAATATTTAAACCAAAGATGGAGAACAACGGTTGGGGTTCGAACTCCAGCTTAGACTACTATGTTCACTTCAAACTCATTAGTGTGCAAATCGACTGAATAGTGAATTCGATCTTCACTGGGTGCTCTATATTTTCGGCCCTTTGTGCCACATCAAAGCTACGCTTAGAATATTGCCCTTACCCTGTGAAACGGTAATAATTCGACGTTGTGTTAGCAGGCTTCTCTCGCTTGATCAGTTCCGACTGAATAGTCAGTTCGATCCTCACTGGGGGCACCATTTTTTTTTTTTTGGCCCTTGTGCCATATTTAAGCTACGCTTAAAAAGCGTCATTACCCTGCGAAACGGTGATAATTTGACGTGGTGTGCAATAGTTAGCAGGCTTCTCTCGCCTGATCAATTACGACTGAATAGTGAGTTCGATCCTCACTGGGTGCCCCATAGTTCGGCCTTGTGCAACGTCTACATTACGCTTAGAAAATTCCGACGGAGCACTTCGACGTGACGTAATGGCGAACAAGCTTGTCTCACTAGATGAATTACTACTGAATAGTGAGTTTTGGTTCTCACTGGGTGCCTCACACTTCGGTTTTGTGCAAGATCTGATCAACACTTTGAAAATCTCCTTTACCCTGCGAAAGGCATACGGAGTCAAGTTTCTTTCTAATGCTTCCCAGCTATGGGTAAAATATGAATCCAGACAGGGGATTAGAAAAGTCTTTATTCACAATTAAGAAAGGGGTCTACACTCTTCCCAACATAAAATTACTTAAATTTATTTAAAAACGACCTCAAATGGAAAACGTTTATCTAAATTTAATATAGAATTTCATACAACTACATAAAAAAAATGCGGGTTTTATCAATAAAATAAAAATAACAATCTTAAACCTTGTTGAGATATTGAGTGTTTCCTCGTGCGTGTATTGAAATAAGGACAAACACATACGTAGGGAAAAATACTGGTATATCTGAAGAGGTATTTACAACAGAGAGATTAGTAGTCAAACGAACGCAGGTTAGTCAGTAAGAATCAGAAAGAGTATAAAGTCCAACTGTATCTTCCGGTAGAGACGGAAGTGTGATGGTCACCTGATCTTCCCAGAACTCTATAGAACTGTCCTATTAGTAGTAGAGAGATCAGTCCATTCTGATGAGAAGGTGGGTGCGCCCCAACAAATCTGAAGCAGTATTTTACATCATACACTGTATTTTTCTGCTCGCCATCCGCAATCCTCGTAATTCGCTATTTTTTCTCTCCCTTTCACAGCGTGTAACCTCTTGCACACAAGTGGCATCCCCGCTTTGCTTGGGGTGAACTCATCAGAAGAAAATATATATGACTATAAAATGGCAAATTAACATCAATCGCCATCTTCTGAATTCGGTTCATCTTTTGTCCTTTCCTTAATCCTCGCTATTCTAAGTATTCTCTTTTCATTTTCTCACCCTGTAAACCCCGGCGCACTCGTGCAGTCAGTTTGTTAATTCCTGTTCTTTTATTCTACTCCTCCTCCTTGATGTGTAACCATTGGATTTTGTTTAATTTGACGCATTAATTTCCTCGAAGATCTTAATGAAATCTTCCGTGGGACACCTGTTCTTCTTTGGCTTTCAACACTTTCGAGTTTTTTATAACTAAAAATGAAGTAATGATAGTAAATAGAATATTCAGCTTGTCTGATATCATCCTGTAAGTTTCAGCTTCTTTCCAGAGCTTAACATCAGTACTTTTTTAGGAAATTGTCAATTCTTTACCACTTGCAATGATGATAACCTTCTTGGACGAATATTTATTACAGAATGCTCCGTTTGTATTTTTTGACTAAAAATAACCACTAAAAACATTATTGAAACATTCTAGAATAATTGAAATTCGAAAGTTTTAAAATCTAAAATTTGAATTGTACAAATCAGTTTTTTAGCCCATTATAATCGGTAAATGGGATTTATTTTTCTTAAATCAATTTTTTTGTTTCCTATGCAAATTTAGTTATTATGCATCAGTGTATACTTAATTATATGAAAAGTATGTTTATTCATCAGCTGGAAATACAATAAAATAAAAATTCATATGGAATACGAATAATTTTCCCCACTGTATATATATATATATATATATATATATATATATCTAAAAAATCGTCGTGGCCTTACTATTGAGCATGAAAACAAGACTCAATCTTCAGATATATATATATATATCTTCAGTTTTATATATATATATATATATATCTTCACTTTTATATATATATTCATATTTATATAAATATCGTTTATTTATTTATATATATATATATATATATCTTACTTTTGCGTATCTATATATATATATATTTTATTTATGAAACATATATATATCGCCTTTAAGTGTTATATATATCTTCACTTTTTATATATATATATATATATATATATATATTTTATATATATATATTTATATATATATATATATATATATATATATTTTATATATATATATATATATATATATATTATATATCTTCACTTTTATTTATATATATATATTTTCACTTTATATATATATATATATATATCTTCACTTTTATATATATATATATATATATATATTCACTTTATATATATATATATATATATATATCTTACTTTCATATCTTCACTTTTTATATATATATATATAGCGACAGTCTTGTTTCATGCTAGACGCAATAGACGCAGGCCACGACGATTGCATCTAGCATGAAACAGACTGTCGCCTCTAAGTTTTGACTTCGATGTTCACTTTTATATTTACACCCGCTCTATCTCTGATTTTGAGCACTTTATCCCATAAATATAGCGCATCTTAAGACTATATTTCTTCATGCGTCTATGTGTGATCAGATATTGTTTTTGCGCTTCCATAGTTTTCATCCGATTTTGCTGAAATATTTTTTGTTTGATAGAGAATTCTTCAGTGCCGGTTTTGAGTCCAAATTGCACATTCCCCTTCTCTTGGTCAAGCAAATAATCTCTCAAGATAGGTTCCCTTTTTCGTCACATAAAGCCTGTTACTACAGTTTTAAGACGTTGCTATCATTGTCGTTTATAGCCTTTCCCAATCTAAATTTTTTTATTGTCTTGCTAGTTTTTGCATTGCATTCACCGTAGTTTATTACTCAACATTTATTTTTACAACTTTTTGTCTACCGAACGCTCTTTTGTGGCCGATCGGTAAGGCAGGTCAGCCTAAATGACGGTTCCGTATAGGATGGGTTCGAATCTGTCAAAGGACGAATATTTTCTATGAAAATTTCTCGGACATTCAGGTCGTGGTAATGTTATTTAATACTGTTTATTATAAACAGAGCATTTACTAAATATTTGTATCTATAAAAAGGACGTTAAACCTAAAATGTCTTTTTAATATATATATATATATATATATATATATATATATATATATAAATAAAATTTATATATATATATATAATAAAATAGAATTTATATATATATATATATATATATAAAATAGAATTTATATATATATATATATATATATATATATATATAATATAATAAATTTATATATATATATATATAATAAATAGAATATATATATATATAATAAATAGAATATATATATATATATATATATAATAAATAGAATATATATATATATATATAATATATATATATAATAAATATATATATAATATAAATAGAATATATATATATATATATATATATATATATAAAAATAGAATATATATATATATATATATATATATAAATAAATAGAATATATATATATATATATATAAATAAATATATATATATATAATAAATAGAATATATATATATATATATATATATATATATATATATAATAGAATTTATATATATATATATATATATATAATAAATAGAATTTATATATATATATATATATATATAATAAATAAATTTATATATATATATATATATATATATATATATATACCGGCTGTAACAGCAGATTTGTTCAATTGATAGATTATTGCTTTGAACCGTTGTATCTTAGAACTGATTAAAGATATCTTACTGGAATTCTTTCGTTGTTCTTATAACACTATTGGTCTCTACTTTGAACAATAACAATGTATTTAGATCTAAGTTCAAATGATGATCTCGCTTGCTGTTTTGACACCCGATCCAGATTTCCTGTCTGTTATTCACCGTTCTCGTCATGGTTCTTGAATTGACTTTGAAGACAGAAACCAGATTATGAATTTTGGTTCCATTACTGAAGGCCTGATGATCTCACCATTACTCAGTTGGCAAAATAGGATTGTTACCTGTTATCTTTCTAGCTAAATAACTCAAAGAGTTTTTCAGTGATTCTCACAAAAAATGGTGTCAAGAAACTGAATTGGTTTAGTTATTTTTTTTTTTTTTTTTTAGATATTAAACATTCTGTGGCATGGACAATTATATTATGCTATATAAGTTCTGATGGATAAATTGTCTAAATTACGCAAAAATAAAAATAACACCGACATCTCATTTTAACAGATATATTTAGCAAAATAATACAAAAATACATTGAAGTGTTAAAGAGTAAATTTATTCAATAAAATCGCCATTGTCTTCAATCACAGCCTCCAGGCGACTTCGGAATCTCCTGCAACTCTTCTGGGTGTTCTTGTTTTATAGGTGATAATTGCCTTCAAATCATCGTTGGTGTTACTAAGAGATTTGTAGGTCTCTCGCTCTGAAATGTTCGTATTGGAAATTCCGGCGCAAATGCCAAACAGCATGCCGTTTCCAAATGTCTAGCAGAGTGAATTGGATCATAGTGCACTTTTTCTCACAGACGGTGACCATCTGACCCTAGAATCGTGTGCAGTCAATAAAATCAAAAACAAAACGAGCGCCCACGATATAATATATATATATATATATATATATATATATATATATATACATATACATATATATATATATATATATGTGAAGAAAAATACAGAAAAACAAACAAAAATTTTAACATGCAATTATGCTGTATTAATGTTAATATAAAGTCGACGTCGGACGTTTCAATCTATTTAAGACCATCTTCATGGACATTTTCATTTAAACATAATTAACATTAGAACATATAAAAATTTAACACAAAAGACGATGGACATAAGAGCACAACTAATCCAAACAGATAACTGAAATTTTATATAAGATCAGCATTCCGTTTAAATATGATCACGTCGTCATCACGTGGGCGATGTTGTGAAAACGTATTCGAAGATGATTTCCAAATAATAAAATATTAAAAGTCGATTGAACTATTTTATATAAACAGTTCAAGAAACCTTCCGTTGAATATAGGAATACGTAGAGAGCAATAGGTTCTTATATCTTCATACAAGCTTGAAGTCCTTTCGTTACAAAGCAAATCAAAATGATTTCAAAAACGATGGAACAGTTCTAAAAAACAGTTCGATAATAAATCCTTTCCTTACTTGATCAATAGATTCATATATTCTCCTCCAAGCTTGAAGTCTTCCATGTTATAAAGTAAATTCAGGTTTATATTTCCAGTAGACAGTATGTATATATATTTAAAGATATTTTTGTAGGTACAAAATTTAATGATCGAAATAAAAGTATAAAAATTACGAGACATATTAAAAACGGGCGAAGCAACCGGTTTCGCACCCGCTCTTCAGGCTTCAACGGGAGATTTAATTTAAAATTAGCACAGAAAAATGTAGAATAAAAGGAAGATGTGGGATGAAGAAATATATATATATCTAAAGGAACTAGAGACAAATGACAGTGAGCCCAACAAACACTCACGTTGTTTACACAAAGAAGGCTTATGGGACCCGATGTAAGTGCCTCCAGAACCTTTAGATGAAATAAAGAGTGTGACCGGGACAACACGGTGAACCAGTCAGCATTAGTATTTAGTCACCCCCCTACGAGAGTATCATGTGGCACAAGGCCGGTTTAACGTGGGATCTCCGAGCCCGTGTGCTCGGCCAAAAATATGCCCTTTGATCCGTATAAACGGGTACAGGGTCGGTTTACCTCCCCGAAAGAGGCTCCGCCCTTCGGCGTAGACTCGTTCGGGTTCCTCTCCACCCGAAGGCAGAGAGTTCAACCGATCAGCCGGTCGTCCGACTTCAGACTGAAGCAGTCAGCACTAAATTTGGCTGCACAATCTCTGTTCTTTAACAGGTGTTTGCATATGGCGGAACCATAGGTGTTTGGGACAAAAATTAGAAAGCACACCTTGCCGTTGAATGGACTCGTCCCGAACACCGATGTTTCCGCCATTTCGTAGTGTGTGACGTCTTTTTTACATTTGGATACGCATCGAGCAGACATGAATGTTCGAGGGAAATTCTGGGATGTTTGTCATTTAAAAGCAGTGAAATCGACTTTGCTAACCAGACACTCCCCTGTAGCTAAATTGGTATAGCACGTCGGGATATGCGAACATTCCGTGTAGGATACAGGTTCGATTCCTCTCGGGGGACACATATTTTCTATGAAAATTTCTCGGACTTTCAGGTCGGTAAATGTTGTCTATAGAGTTTATTATAAACAGAGCATTTACTTGAATATCTTTATCTATAAAAAGAACATATAAACAGAAGATACCTTTAATCTCTCTCTCTCACTATATATATATATATATATATATATATATATATATATATATATAAAATAGTCTTCCCATCGTTAACATTTAATTTGCACGGAAAGTTTTAAAAGCATATTTGAATGAACCTTTCATTAATATTATTTATCCTTAATGGATATTTTAAAACTTTCTCTATCTAAAAGCAACGTTTCTGTTGATCAAGTAGTTTTTTCCCGAAATTCATCGTGTTTCTATAGAAACAATTTTCATCTGCTTTGTTAAAATTATGCTGGATGTTTGCAGAAAAACATCAGTTTGTTTAAGTTAAAGAAAAAAGTAAAATAAAATGTTATTTTCTTATTAAACTAAATGAACATCGTTACCTTCGGACATTGGCACTGCAGCATTCGTAGTAACTATTATTTTTGTCTGACATTACACAATACAGTGTAACCCGGATATAAGAGAGTTGTCGGGACCGGAGAAAAAGTCTCTTATATCCGGGTTTGGTCTATTTTATATACATTAACACAGGCTCTAATTTGGGACCATAGACAATCTCTCTTATATCAGGGTTTTTCTTATATCCGGGTTACACTGTACTACAAAGTAGTCGAGCGAAACCGTAAAAAAAATTTTTTAAAATGGTTTTATTATTTCGGTATTTTCAGGCGATTCTGGCTAAGTAAGTTCCTAACTGTTTATTGTTTAAAAAGAAATAAATGTACAACGCGAAGCAAATATAAGGTGAGAAGAGAAATAAGGTTATTGAAATTGTATTGGAGGTGTGGGTATATAAAATGTACTTATTTTCATCCCGGTTTGTATTAAGTCGAAAGGAACATTTTAGTGTCTATGCATCGTGTCATTATTTCCAAAGCTTTTTTTTCTGGTCTGGAAAGTTATCATTATTAAGATTTCTTCCTGGCAAAGATTGTAGATATCACTACGATTGCTGTAAGTTTAAAAATATTTCCCAATTGGCTATCGGACCTTTTTTAGTTGTTCCTTTAATTTCCACACATGTGTGCATCATTATGCTTGTTGATTATTTGCATGTTGAATTGGGAAAGTTTTTACGTATATATCGTTTGTTTTAGATAAACGCACGATAGACCCGATAAAGGTTGGCGATGCAGTCTTGTTATTAGCAAACTCTCGAAGTACTTTCACCGTGTGGCATTACTAAAATCAAAGTTATGGCTAGTTTTGTTTCTGTGCTTTATGAGTTTGAATGGTTGTCTAAATATAAATCTGTTTTGTGTCCGTTGATACAGGCGTTTAGATCACGTGATGTCTTCCCTATATAAAGGTTCTTTTCTTTTTTTTTTTTTTTAAATTATAAATCGAGTTTGGTACGTTTCGGTTTAACCCAGATGACGTCGGTGATTCGGCGTCAGAAAAATAATACGACTATTCAGCACAGCTGTTTAGGCGTTGGATTGTTTCGACGTCAGTCTTTGACAGGAGGCACCAGTCTCCAAGCCAAAAGTGTATAAAAAGCCTTGACAACAACCAACTTTAAATATGACTTTTTATTCATTTAGGGAATTAAGGATCCTATTAAAACACTAATGGAAAAATGTAAATTAAAAACTTAAATTAAAAATATTGTATTTAAAAAATATTAAAAAACTTAGTAAAGCTATTTAATCTTAGAAATTAATTTTTCATTTCATAATTACGGACAGCAGCCTTCAGGAATTCAGTAGGATTTGATGGGTCAGCTTCCATTATGACTTTTTTTTATTCGTTCGTCAGCATCTCTATATATTTTTTTAGCTTTATTTTTTTTTTTAATTTTTTGTGGGGTGGGGGATATCCAGTGGTCAACTTTACAAGAAATGCATCACTTAGGAAATATAATATTAAAATGCCTCCAACTACTTTTTCTTAAACTGGACTATTCAAGCATATTACGACGAAGTACTAAGAGAGAGAGAAAGGCAGGCAGAGAGAAAGAGTTAAAAAGAGAGAGAGAAAGGAAAAGAGAGAGAGAAAGGAAGAAAGAAAAAGAGAAAGAAAGAAAGAAAGAGAGAGAAAAAGAGAGAAAGAGAGAGAAAGAAAAAGAGAGAAAGAGAGAAAGAAAAAGAGAGAAAGAAAAAGAGAGAGAGAAAGAAAGAAAAAGAGAGAGAAAGAAAGAAAAAGAGAGAAAGAAAGAAAGAAAAAGAGAGAAAGAAAGAGAAAGAAAGAAAAAGAGAGAAAGAAAGAAAGAAAATTGACTATAGCGGTAAAGTAGTAGCCTGACACCTAATCGTCTCTCGAAATATTCTTACGCCGAACTAACAACGCCGGAATGTCCTGTTTTCTTTTGATAAGTACCGGCATATGCATTTGTGTTAGAATTCTATCTCCTATTCTCAAGTATTATACACAAAAAGCTACAGAATAAACACGCCAATGTATATATTAAATTTTCTCTTAACCTTCGTTCTTTCGTTTTTAACAGTGTCCCACAACGGAAAGAACTTTTGCGCGTAGCCTTTTTATCTATACCTACTTGTCAATGTTATATAGCAAAACTAATTTAACTTGCCGGAAAATAATGATTGAAGAACACGGTAAAATAAAGAGCGTAAATATACCCACATCACCAGACAGTATTACTTAGTCGGGTAATGGCTATCGGCTGGAGAAGACAACATTCAATTTATAATACGCCATTTTAAAGTAAATGGTTAAAGAAGTTACAGAAATGTGGCATATTGCCAAAGAGTATTGGGAGGGATGACTGGAGAGGAGGAAGATGTGCATTATTGCATCTTTAACTGATCGTTGCATTCAGACAGAAGAATTCTTTCGCATAGCAATCAAAAAAACATGTCTGTATAAATATAATAAAACCGGAAAGATAATTTTGTTTTACATTATAATTTAAAATTTCCCCACTTTTGCTGATGAAAGCCGAAGAGGGAAAAAAGGGCAGACGAGAAAAAGAGAAAAGTAAGAGAGAAGAATAAAGGAAAGGACTGAAGAGAAGAACAGAAAGAGAAGTAAAAAAAAAAAAAAAAAAAGGGGGGGGAAAAAGTAAAAGGGGGGGGAAGAGAGTAAGAAAAGTAAAAGAGGGGGAAAAAAAGAGAAGAAAAGTAAAAGAGGGGGAAAGAGAGTAAGAAAAGTAAAAGAGGGGGGAAAAGAGTAAGAAATGTAAAAGAGAGGTAACAAAGAGTAAGAAAAGTAAAAGAGGGGGAAAAGAGTAAGAAAATTAAAAGAGGGGAAAATAGAGAGTAAGAAAAGTAAAAGAGGGGGAAAAAGAGAGTAACAAAAGTAAAAGAGAGGGAAAGAGTAACAAAAGTAAAAAGAGGGGAAAAGAGTAAGAAAAAAGGAGAAAAGTAAATGTAAAGGTGGGAAATGGAAAAGTAAATAGAAAAGGAGGGAAAAAAGAAAGAAAAATTGAAAAACGAAAAAATAAAGGAAAAAACAAAAAGGAATAAAGAAAAGTAAGGCGGGGAAAGGAGAAAGAGAAATAAAAGGAAAAAGAGAAAGATAAAAAAGAAAAAGAGAAAAAGAAAAGTACAGGAAAAAAGAAAAAAGAAAGAAAAAGGGGAAAAAAGTAAAGGGTTTGGTTTAGTTTTACGGCATATCAACGTAAATGGGTTCTTTAATGCCGACGAAATTTTTATTACTGGTAATATTTTTTTTTAATCTCTTTCTGGTAAAATTTTTCCTTCAAAAATTCCATTTCTGGTAATAATTTTCTATCAAAAATGTATCGCTGGTAATATTTTTCTTTTTTTTCAAAAAATTTATAGCAGGCAAATTAAAGCAAGTATATTTCCAAAAATGCATTGCTGGTAACATTTGGTTTTTCAAAAATGCACTGATGGCAACATTTTGTTTTCAAAAATGCATTGCTGGTAATAATTTTTTTACAAAGTATTTCTGGTATTAAATCCTATTTTTACACTTTCATAGTTTTTTGACCCCAGTTACAATTCCATTGAATAAGGTTTTGCATCTTGATTTATGCATTATGAATTATAAATTTTTACATGTCCATTTTAATTTATATATATATATATATATATATATATATATATATGGGTGAAGTGTCTATCATTTCTATATTCTTCAGACTATTAGTGTTTTGTTTCTTGTTGTTTTCTTCTTTGAACTTCTTTTGTTTCTACTTTTTTGTTTAATTTTGCTCCCTTAGTTTTACCATTTAGTTCTTTTAATGAACTTTGTCTAGATGATGATCTTCCCCTTGTTTGGGATGGGCTCAAGATTTGTTCCTATATGTCCATTTCCTTGGTTCTTCAATAACCATTTCGTTATTTTTATTTATTTATTTTTTTGTACCTTTTCATTCTCTTGAGAAGGTTTTGATGTTTCTATTTCTTGGATTTTATTTTTTTCGTTTTGATTTTTCGGGTATAATAGTCTTGTAGATATAGAGTCATTTTTGTTTACGGTTGACAGTATAGGTTTTTGTTTTTCCATTAGGTTCTTTAATGATCTTTGTATAGATGATGACCATTCCCTTGTTTGTGATGGGCTAAAGTTTTGTTCCTCTATGTCAATTTCTCTTGATTCTTCACTAAAAGTTGACTTTTTTTTATGTACCTTTTGATTCTCATGATGATATTTAGAGGTTTCTATTTCTTGCATTTTTATACTTTGGTTTAGAATTTTCAGATTTAATTGTTTTGTACATGTAGAAACTTTTTTGTTTGAGGTTGACGTGACAGGATTTTTTTTTTGTCTATGGGCGTTTGATTTATGAGGGATATGCTACATTTTTTTTTAGTTCTACTAAACTTTTTAATTCGTAAATAAGAGTTATAAGATCTTGGCTTAATGCATTGTTTTCTTAGATGACTTTTTGTCGATTTGATATTTTAGTGATATTTGCATATGATGCTTGAAGGGAATTAGATTCAACCTGTTTCCTGGCTTCTTGGAATGAGATATTTTGTGTATATTTTATTCTAATTATTTCCGTTTCCAAATGTTACACTCTTTAGAGTCTGCTGAATTCTTTTTCTTTACAGTTTGGACATAAAGGAGGCCTTTCCCAATGTGATTCTTCATGCTAAGTTTCTGGTTCCCCACACCTTCGACAAACTGATGTTCTCATACAAACATTTTGAAGATGACCAAATTTATGACATTTATAACATCTATGGGGATTAGGAATGTATGGCTCTACCTTGGCTATTGTGTAACCTTATCTTTATTTCTTTTGGTAGAGTCGGTTTGTCGAATATCAAAATATATGTATTGGTGTTTATTCCAGTGTCATTTCTTTTTACTTGCATTCTTTTTACGTCCGTTACTCCTTGCTTTTTTAGGGTGTCATCATTTTCAATTTCTTCTGATGAACAAAGTGACAGTTCTGAGCATTTTATTCCTCCTTTTGATGAATTAAGGAATTGATGGGGGTAGGCCTTAACTTTGTTGTTCTCAATTTGCTTGATTTTTAACCATTTGTCTGCATCTTTTTGGGATATCACTTGAATTAATAGAGTATTATTTTTCTTTATATTTTTTAACAGATTGTGGTTTGATCAGGTCTGAAATAACCCTTTACAACACGAAAGGAGACTCCTTTGATATATCACCCTCTACAGCAATGAAAGTTGGAAATTGATTTTTTTTCTATTTCATTTTCACTTTCAGAAGTCTCATATGGTCTCTTGGTTCGCTTTTAAGAAGTAGCCATATAATTTTAATTTTTGTATTTACTGTCTGTGCTCCCTGCCCAATTCGGAGTTCCTTAAGGGACGCTATCAGGGCGGGAACTAATCCCATTCGCCCTAATCCGTCAGGGCTACACTGACAGTATAGTTGTGATGAGAGTGGATATGAGCACCTGCATCCCCCACCATATCTATCCAAGTATAGTATGATGTAAGGTTTCGTGGCCCTGTTGGACCCATTATCTATCATCCCAACTAACCCTTGCCACTATGTGACTAGCCGATTGGAATGGACTGGGCTATTTCATCCGCCCGTCTATCCCAGGTAGGGACAGAAGTGACGTGTTGTGGAAACCCCTGGTCATTTTACACCAGATCAGGAGTCACTCAGTCACCAGGACTCCGTCCCCCGGCATGCCACCCACAGCAAACGGATGGCCCCATTTAGGGGAAATTTTATTTTTTTGAAATTGGGTTTTGTGAATGTGCACTTTATATGCTGCAATTTGTATTGATGGTATTATTATTACAAAAAAAAAAAAAATCCAGATCAAGGGAGGTGGAAAACTATTTACCCATAGCCGGGACCCTAACGTGTGCTACCACCCAAGGTCAGGGTGGACCCCCGGGAACAACAGCAACTAAGAGGCGGTTTCACGCTCCTCAAAACCTACCGATGAGAGGCCTTGCTGCTGGATGTAGTTACTCGTCATACCCAGGACAAGAAAAAGTAAAGGGAATAAAAGGGAAGTGAAAGAAAAGTAAAGGAGAGAAAGAAAAAAAAAGAAATGGGGTAAAAGAAAAGAGGAAAAATATAAAAAGAGAAGGGGGAAAATAGGAAGAAAAAAAAGAGAATTAAATATATACGACAAAATGAGAAAGATAATTAAATGGGAAAAAGAGAAAGAAAAAGAAAAGAAGTAAAAATAAAGAGAAAAGAAAAATAACGATGAAGGAAAACATGGAAGCCTTGTAAAATAAACCACTCGATACGTAATTAAAAGTGTAATTAAGCCCATACCCTTTATTATTAACTATAGATTTTCCTCGTTCTACCAACCACATCACGAGATATCTCTATACTGCCCGGCCCACGTATTACACTCACAATAACTTTGTTACCATATTTAGGAAACATCGATATAATCTACCACCCTATTTCCACGTGGCCTTAACGATGGGATAACATAAAATGAGGATTATAATCACCATTTTCCTTTTAGAATTTCTTGATTTCTGCTTCTTAATCTTGCTAGTTTCATAACTAAAATATCCTGGGAGACATCGTTAAATTTGGCGAAACAGCTAATACTGTATTTATAGTCAGTAGTGCCCTTGAGGTTTCATCCCACTACGATATATATATATATATATATATAAAATGGACTCTCCTGTCGGTTTCGACGTATGAGGATCTGACATCTAATTGATTCAGTTATGAAATTTTGTACGATAATCTTAAGTGGCATTTAAGAACCTCTAGGGAGTTACAAAGAAGGCCACATATGGAGCAAGTGTGAGGATTGTGAGATGAGATCACTGTTAGATTAGCTGACCTTTGAGATCTTGCTCTCGCTTCTTGAAGATGATTCAGACAAGCAGATTGAAAATTGCTGAGTCCACTCCATTCTACCCGCTCCAAGGCTAAGCGCTCAAGGATGTTATGTGGTATATTGACTGCTGACAAGTTGCTTTTTAGCTTGTCTTTGTGCGTGCGTGTATATATATATATATATATATATATATATATATATATATATATATATATATATATATATATATATATATATAGCTAAGATTTGTGACGTACGGTGGCTGTTAATACTTAAGTATGACTCAAGACTTCAATGTAAAATAGAACAATATTTAATTATAACCGCAAATTAAATACTTAAGAACATGGATGTAAAAGTCAACCAAAGATAATTAACCATTTCAGTGAATACTTTGTTAGTAGATCGGCTCGGCTTAACGTCCGGTAAATCTTAAATCAAAACCCAAATCATCGACGCACAATAATTCACACTAATTCGACTGGATAGTTCCAATCAATAATCACTGAGTAATCAACTCAGTCAGTAGCCTGACATCGCTATTTATACACCTGTCCAGAGTGTCACGCTCGAACCTTGATGCTGGTAGTTACTAATTTCCTTCCTATATGACACAAACTGACTCACTCTTAAAGCTACAAAATTAGTTTGTGTACCATTATAATATTATTTAACATAGTCAAATATACTAGTATGCTTTAAATACCCAAACATACTGAAACATTTTCAGTAAGAATTAAAAAGCAAAGACAAATAGGGAAACATGTAAAAATTCTTTATTCTCTGAAAATAAAACTTACAGAGTAAGTTTTCTTTTTTTTTTTTTTTCAATGACATCGTCAGTTTTCGCCCTATATACAGTAGATAGGCCAGGATATATGACATAATTTAAGTTACTCGAAATCGAAAAGAACCTCCAACTGAATACTGCCTGACATTAAAATCACTTATTTCACAACCCCATAAGCATTTTTACAGCGGACACAAAAGTGCTGCCCGCATAAAAACGCCGACTGGGTTGGACCGCCTCCCCTCTACCGACTACTAACAATCACGAAAGTCTCCATTTCACTGAAGCAGAGGCGAAACGTATGAGAACATTATCACCTTCATTTTTTGATTTTTCATTTATTTTTTTTTTTTTTTTTTACTAGCAGCATGGCCCGGCGTTGCCCGTGTATGATTCAAAAATCGTACGACGACTCATCCAGCTATCGCTATCACTTGACTTAAAATAGTTTTGCCCTTCCTTGCCTTCAAAGAAGTGACCTTTGCCGTGCTGATGTTGCTACATGCCTTACTTCTTGCCTATCTCACATTTTCTAAGCGCTACACTAAGCATTAAATCTGTTACGAAAAAAAGAACTAAACAAAATAAACACAAAACGACTCGTAACTGGAAAAACCGAATGAAAAAAAAAAAAAAGAATGTTAAATACTTTTTCACACCCAACCCAGTTCTGCGGAATCAGAATCAACGTTGAGTTTAAGCAAGCGAATGAGCCAAGTGGAGTAAAGTGCCATGCAGATTTAAATTTTTCCCACTTGTGACGAATGCAGCTATCGATTTTTTTTGCATGCTAGCACGCTAGTTATAATTCGTGTCAGTCAGCTGTTTGCTCTCACGCTGGCCAATAGAATCTTCCTGCCTATTCGTGGCAGCCTCTCACTCTGGCCAGTAGAAAATGCCCGCAAAGTACATGAAAACTGCTGTAGAAGCATGAAAAAATCGATTATTTCCACTATCGATGTGAGTTGGGAATTTGCCAAGTCGGTCTTCGCCTTCCCGCTAACTTGGAGCATGTACATGTAAAATATGGTGCAAATCCGTCGAAAATTGCGATCGTGTATTCGTTACACACACAGCTTTTTATAGATAGAGATGCTTCCTCCCTCCACAAAAAAACAAACAGTATCTCATAGCATCCATTTTCTTGTAATCTAAATGTTACATTACTTATCTAAGGTAACAGCGTTCAACGAACTTACAGAGGAACAATCAGGAGAAAGTTAATCAGTAAAAGAATTCAACAATTATCGGATATGTAATGAAGAAAAAAAAGCTTGGAAATTTTAACACTCACAGGACCTAGAAATCTAGAGGGAAGCAACGTATAACTCCAGTGTTTATGTAAATCAATGGATGAGCAAAAAAGCTGGGGCGGTTGTCCTTTCGTGTGATGACGAGCATCTCTAGTGAAGTAACCTCTAAACCACGGAGCTTCTCTATGGATTCCCACTTTCACTACCGTTATTGCTCGTTTGCTAGAGGTCCTGTTTTGGATACCGTTATTTATTGCTGTATAACTACAGTTATTGTGGGACAAGGTCAAACCAAAAAGGTGGAATGGGTTGAGGCTGGTTTACACTATCCGTGACCTAGCTCATCAGATTCACGATCCATTTATTCATTAATATTTACTCATTCACCACAAATGCCTCATCATTCAATACTACATACCCCACACATTCACATAAAATCTACAACACGTGCCAAGACATAAAAATCCTAAAATATTGATACCATGGGTGTTAGTAAGACTCTGGCAAATGTCCGATATACGTTCGATTGAATAGAGAGGGATGCGCCCTGGCAAATGCGCGGTATACGTTGATTTGAATCGAGTGGGACGCGCCCTGGCAAATGCGCGGTATACGTTGATTTGAATCGAGTGGGACGCGCCCTGGCAAATGCGCGGTATCCGTTGGTTTGAATCGAAAGGGACGCACCCTGGCAAATGCGCGGTATCCATTGGATTGAATCGAAAAGGACGCGCACTGGCAAATGTCTGGTATACTTTCGATTGAATAGAGGGGGATGCGCCCTGGCAAATGCGCGGTATACGTTGGTTTGAATCGAGTGGGACGCGCCCTGGCAAATGCGCGGTATACGTTGGTTTGAATAGAGACGGACGCGCCCTGGCAAATGCGCGGTGTCCGTTTCGTTGAATCGAGAGGGACGCGTCCTGGCAAATAAATAGTGTACGTTTCATTAAATGTCTGCTGCGTTGGTAGGGGGGGTATTTTATTTTGTTTGGAGAAGTCATATGCGAGACCCACAATGGCAGCATTTTATAAACTAATGTCTACTGCTATCTCGAAATCAGCGTAGAGATTTTCTAACTTACAATATGGCAAGTTTCCTGACGAGATTTGAAATGTGTTGAAAGAACGATTTAGCTTTATCTAAACTGGATAATTCCTTTTAACCTCTGAAGGTTATATGATTAAGTCCCTTGTCGAGCGAGGTGTTCCTTAGTCGCCAGTATCGCTATAAGCTATAAATTTTTTTATTTTTTTTATTTTGCAAGTGCGCCCCTGGCATACGCCGTGCAGTTCAAGAACACCCTCGCTTACGCCCTGGAGCGTGTTGTCCTCTCCTCCGGTACATGCCAAAATGCTCGCAATAAGCGCGCGGTGTCTCATTCTCAAAATTGGTCCAAAATGTTGCCACCTGAAATGGCTAAATTTCAAGCAATCCTGGTAGGATTTGGGCAGTCGCTCCACGCCAGTTGTATGTGAGGGCAATGACCCTGATAGGCAGGTCACGTCCCTAACTTTAGCGTATCGCGTCAAGAAATACGGCTGACTGTACTTCGCGATCTTTTCCCTGTTGTATGCATCCAGAGTACAAACGACAGTGCTCAATTCTCCCACTAATTCTGGGATTAAAAATGTTTTGGGAGAACGGTTTAGCTTGGTCTATACTGGTGAGTAGCAGAGCGGAACAATGTTAGCGGAGACTATGAAAAATGGTTGTCAGCGAGTTTATTCATTAAAGGCAGTAAACGGTAATTTCCATAAAACGGGCCAGCACAGCCAGGTAGCAATACAACATTCAAAGTGGGTAATGTGCCAGACTGTGATGACACTTTCGATATCGTCGACAGAGATGTCCTTGTATTCAGCTGTTAATATTATAATTTAACTAGCAGCATGGCCGGCGTTTCCCGTGCTTGATTCAAAAATCGTACGACTCATATAGCAATCGCTATCACTTAAAATTGTCCTTCCTTGCCTTTAAAGGAGTGCCTTTGCCGTGCTGATGTTGCTACATGCCTTACTTCTTGCCTATATCATACTGCCAACCTTTTCTAAAGTCTTTACTAAACATTAAATCTGTTACGAGAAAAAACTAAACAAAATAAACAATACGATCAGCTTAAAAAAAACGGAAAAAAACATTTTTAAGGGTTGACCGATTGTCGATTTGCACTATTTCAGGGAGGGGGTGCTCAGAGTTGAAACTTCACATGGTGACTCCCAATGGCCTCTTCATAAATCCGCTCGATTTTCGCTAAAAACCGACATGCGGTTCAGACGTAATCTGGGCGTATCGGTTTTTGGATTTTATTCCGCGCTGTTTAGGGGTCCGTGGTCATGAAACTTCTGGACAACACTTCTAATGGTAGACTCTAAGAGGGTGTCAAATTTGGTTGAAATGCGATAATTCCTTCTGTAAGCAGAATTTTTTCGATTATCAATTTTTTTCGGAACCTGATTCCGAACTCAAAAATTGGGCTCCGTCATGTCCTTACGGCAGCCATTTGCAAACTTGTGTTGAAAACCGCATCGAAATCGGGTGAGAAATGCAGCCTGGGCGAGGTAACAACGCCCACGACAGACACACAGACAACATAAGAAATATAGATAGTAGATTTGTGACGGAGTTGGACAAGTGATTAAGTATATAAGTGCGTATACACCCAAGTACGCTTAAGCTTGTAAATACAGTGTCACACCCACATTATATAATTTCTCTTTCAACGCTCTATGGGGTATTATCAAGGAGACAGGTATTCTGGTATCGTTCAGGTGAATATCAGTTGAAGAACGCATTTCGGAGGACCGTTGCAACAATCAACAAAGTACAGTTTCGTAAAATATTAAACAGGACATGGCACCTCATCATTTGCTGCCATGAAAATTATGATTTTCATACAGACCTTCTCGATGTATGACAGCGTCAATGAATGCGAATAAACTGAATCCAGTACACGTGTTTTGTATTACTGTATAACTTGTTCTATTGGTCTTTTTGGTTGCGGGTAACAAGGCTTTCGGACCACCCTATAGATAAATAAGGGATGTATTTAGATAGATAGAAAATTAACAGAATCAGATAGATACATTCATACATACACGCAAGGTGGTCCGAAAGTCATGTCAATCTAGACGGATAATGAATGTATTTAGATAGATATGAACATAGATAGGTCCGAAAGTCTTGTCAGCCCAATATAATAAATCAACGTTCTGTGGGAGTGTTATCAAGGAGAGAGTTTTACATGAACGATAGCAGAAAACCCGTCAGCTGAAGGACGGCATTCGGAGAGTCTTTGCAACAATCAACACGGCACAGTTTCGTAAAATAACACACAGGATATGTCGCCGCATCATTTTGTGGCACGAAGATGGTGGTGTTCATACAGAACCTTCTCGATGTGTGACAACGTCAATGAATGTGATTAAACTGAATCCAATACAAGTGCTTTGTATTACTGGATTACTGGTTCTTCATTACATTTTTTTTTTTTGGTAGAGAGTGACAAGACTTTCGGACCACACTTCCTTCTTAGACTGGTTGCTTATCAAAGCTGGAGAACCATTGTACATATCTTAGCCAAATCTGGTGGAAGAGGATTGGAATTTAAAAAATAAAAATGTCATATTCGCCCACGCCCTAAAGATGATCAACCTTAAACTAAATGCTACGTCTAACTTCGTCTAGTATTTTTTTTTTTTTAATAATGATAAAAAAGAACAGTGAAGAATGCCATTCACAAAACGTTAAGTGATAAAAGTTCTTTTATCAAACAGATACCAAAGCTTCAGCCGTAACAACTTCTACTGGATGGTTCAAGTTATTAAAAAAAAAAAAAAAAAATAGCAATATACTAATTTACAGTACCGCGTGTTAAACTATTTTGAAATCTGATGTGAGAGTAAGATCTACTCCACCTTTGAGGAAATCAGATTTTTTGTCATAGTCGAAGCTTTAGATTCACATACAGGGTGCGGCAGAAATTCCTCCCACATAATGGTATGGAATTAGCTTGGTGAAGGCACCATTGTTATTAATGTCTTAACGCTATATGGCAGCAATCTCCGAGGAATATATTTGGAGGATTTTTCTACAGTACCCTGCGTTTACAATAGAGTAAATTTTAAACTAGTGTCAACAAGGTAATATGGAGAAACTCGTACATGTACATATTAGGTTAGCAAAAAATTCGTAAATTTTCAGTTTAAGCGAACGAAAACTTTGGACCACCAAATAGATACCCCAATACGTTAATTACGTTAAGCACAGTAGATTTTAAAATTTGATGAGGTTTCGGCCTTAAAAATAATGTCTGATACTATGAGAGATCTTTAAATAGTGTGTGTGTATGTATATGTGTCTGTATGTATGTGTCTGTAGGTGTGTGTATGTGTGTTCTGGGCTTCCGGAGACAAGTGCAATCTTATTTACTATGAATACAGAAGCAACCGCGAATTATATAATTAACCGTAGGGTTATTTAAAATTAGATTACATGTCTTACTCCGCCATAAAAATGGAAAGAAGCGTTAAGAATTATGGATGGGCAAGTGTTATGTCAGCGGAACTAAGGTGTTACATTCTAGCAGTCGAGAGTCTAGCAGACAAAACGAGGGGAGGGTTGAAGTTTTGTCATTTGTGCAACACCATAAATAAAGGCGAACAAAAAATAAACGGCTGTTTTATATATTCGTGATTTACGCACCTCCAATAAGGGAATACGAATAAACTAAATCTCGATCAAAGAATCTGTGTACCCATCTGGAGAGAGAGAGAGAGAGAGTCACACACGGAGACACACAGACTGACGGACAAAGATTCTCCGTAATTATTATAAGAAAGTAAACGAATATAAAAGACAATCTTTGGATTGGATATGACAATCAGGGAATTAAAACTCAAGTCAGCGTTAAAGATTTAAAAACTTGAAAGGGCATCCACACGAGAGGCACATACAGAGAGAGAGAGAGAGGGGGCACAGACAGAGAGAGAGATGGGGGGGGGGCACAGAGAGAGAGGGGGGCACAGAGAGAGAGAGAGGGGGGGCAGAGAGAGAGAGAGAGAGAGAGAGAGAGAGGGGGGCACAGAGAGAGAGAGAGGGGGGGTACAGAGAGAGAGAGGGGCACAGAGAGAGAGAGAGGGGGGCACAGAGAGAGAGAGGGGGCACAGAGAGAGAGAGAGAGGGGGGCACAGAGAGAGAGAGAGAGAGGGGGGCACCTTAACTTTTACTGGTGCAAGTTCACAAAATCGTTTAGTATTTTCGGCACGACACCACCATATGTGATTTGGCGGTTTATGATCACATGCGCCGCTTGACACTGCAAGTTCAACGGGTCCCTCGGAGTAATCGCCAGCGTTCTCCAACGTGCAAAGTCCATAGCAGAAATCCCTTCACTATTCCTACAATCCAGGTGCGATCCATATTCCATAAGAACAGAGACAACATCACGGAGAATACTATTAGGGGCATGCTTAAGGGCATACATAAGCGGGGTTCGACGGAAATAGTCCTTGGAATCAACATCGGCACCGGCTTTAACTAAGAGGCGGACCAGCGCTAGCGAACCCCACTCAAGTTTCTTACTCGCTTTAATGGCTCGATGTAAGAGAGACTGGAGGGCGACGGTGCGGGGATCTATTTTGACAAGTCTTGAGACCACATCAAAAAGTGTATGTACTTGGTCATCGGAAAGATTGAGGTTTTTGATCTTATGCGCCATGTAGAGAAAGGTATCCACCGTTTCGTTGTAATGACAGTCTTCGACATAAGGCGTTGAAGAGTACTGGTCCTTTCTGAGAATCCACACCTCTCCCGTGATACGCGCTATCATTTCAAATATAGCAAAGCCACCGTTTTTGAAAAAGCTCTCCGAATCGCCATCAGCGACTATTTCGTTGAATACATTTCGAAAAGAGCGTGAACAGATAGCAATATTGCAGATAGTAAGAAAGAGGCAAGATTTCTGGGCGTGGTCGAGGAGCTGCCTAAATTTCTCCAAGTTGTTCCGTTTGGCGATTAAAGAAGTTTGCAATAGAGAGTGAATGTAAGTGCTATTACTTCGGCCTAAAATCCTTTCGAGTGTCAAGACTGCCTGAAAAGCAAGCTGCAACGGGTTTTCTTGAAGTCTGAACAGTTCACTCTCCGTGCTGAATTCTTGAACACAATCTAGCGCCTCATTCATGGCAAGGGGTCTGTCTTTAGGTAAACCACTTTGCCTCATTTCCAACGCGCGAATCCAAAAGGACACATCAGACTCTCCCGCAAGAAGAGAGCAGGCATTCAAAGCTTCCATAGCTTGTATTTTATCAAGCTCGTCGTACATTGGATGTTCTGATAAAAAGAGGAGGGCCGGTACATTGACGTTCACTGCAGACAACATTAACGGGGTCATGCCATCTTTACTTCGGATTTTAACATCAGCCCCGGCTTCGACCAGGGCCTTGAGACTGTCAATATGCATGCCAGAAACGGCCACATGTAAAGCCGTGAAGCCATCCTTATCTCTATGGTCGATATTGACGTCAGTGCCGAGAAGGAAACGGCAAACCTCACTGTTAAATATTGAAGCCATTAGAGGACTGCCACCGTGAAAGCAAGGGAGATTTACGTCGGCCCCCATATCTACGATCATCCGAACATAGCAGACCTCTCCATTGAAAACGGTCATCATTAGTGGAGTATAGGGACCGATGACGTAGTCGTTGATATTGTCTATTTGTCGAGAAATAAGCTCGACTAATTCCATATTTCCAACCAGTATGGCGGCAGTAAAAGGATGGCGACATTTTTTCCAGCATTCATTCATTTCCCGGCGACCCTGGCGAAGAGAGATTTCTAAAAGGTAACGGGCGATTTCGAGCCGGTTTAGCTTGACTGCCAAAAACAGAGGCGTACAGCCATGAATTGTAGAATTCGTTACAGTGATGCATTGGTCGTGTTGAAATTGTTCAAGGAGTTGCTTGATAGAAACCAAGCTGTTTCCGTCTATGAAGTGAAATATTTGATTGACGAAGAATGTAGCAGATCTTTTGTCCAATGTTATTTTGGCATATTCTGCAACGAGAAAGTATAGTCATTTTAAGGTATACTAGATGAGAGATGAAGTTCGAAAGAGAAGGATTATCAATTAATAAGAATCTTACCAACTAAAACGATCTTTGATAGCTTAATAGAATTTTAATCCCAACAGAGAAAAATTTAAACATTCCACGTTGGGAGCTAAACATTACGAATTCAAGCACAGTGCTAATTTAACAGCAAGGTCTCGTTTTATAGTTTAATTGGAGAGATGAAACCGGAAGTTCTATATTTCTTCTCCAGAAGAACTTTTCCGACTTCCTGTTCTTTCAGTCAGTTTTGATATTCAAAAATTTAAAATGCAACTTCAATTCTTGTTCTTTTATCGAGCTCAAGTTTTTTTCTCATTCTTTCGCACTCAGAAACCCCATTGCTTCTCAGTGGCTTTATTCCCTTGATATGGATATAATATATTTAAAAAAATATCTCCATACTATCGCTTTATCTTGACGATTCATGTTGCACAATGATTTTGTAAGCGTAGCTTAGATGTGGTACAAGACCTAAAGTAGGGGGCACCCAGTGAGGATCGATCTCACTACTCAGTCGTAATTGTTCTAGCGAGAGAAGCATCCTAATCATTACACCGCCTCGAGGTTCCCTGATTTTCCAAGCGTAGTTTAGATGTAGCACAAAATCGAGAGTATGGGGCACCCAGTGAGAATCGAACTCTCGATTCAGTCGTAATTGATATAGCCATACAAGATGGCTAACTATTACGCCGCCTCGAAGTGCCCCTATTCATGATGCATATACAGGGTCGAATCATCCTCATCGCATTCAATAATGCGAAACTGACTATTTCAGAGAATGGCTACCATGTGACAAACTCCCGAGAGGATGCTTCCCCGATCACTACAATTTTAGCCCCTTCAAATCCAGTTTCAACTTAACCATCCTACATATCATCCTAAAAAATCTATTTCCATAACGCGTTACCTAGGATACTTTGAGCACTGTAATTTTCCAAGCGTAACATAGATGTGACAAGGCCGAAATTAGGTGGCACTCAGCGAGGAGATAACTCACTATTCAGTCGTAATTGTTCTAGAGAGACAAGCTTGCTTACCATTACACCGCCTCGAAGTGCCGAAGATGAATTTTTTAAGCGTAGCTTAGATGTGGTATATATATATATATATATATATATATATATATATATATATATACATACATATACACACACACACACTTGACTCTCCCGTCGAATTCGACGTATGAGGGTCAAGCAGATCAGTTCCTAGTAAACCGACGGCCCGAGAACAGCACATGAGATTTAATTATAGTGGTGAAGGTTTTGTGCAAGACAATCCATACTTTTTTGAAGGGCTGAATACTGAGACCCGGTAGACTACGTGCCACAGGGTCCCCAAACGGCTCTCTGCACGTTTTTGTTCTTCTAGTCCACTTGCCATCCAAGGCTATAGAACCTAGTCTCTCCTGCTATTTACCCATACCTAGAGGAAGAAGAGGAGGATTCGTATATTTCCCCAAGTGTAATAGCACTAAGTGAATGTAATGGATTCGACTGGAATTCAAACTCAGTTCTCCATTATATATATATATATATATATATATATATATATATATATATATATATATATATATATATATATATATATATATATATATATATATATATATATATGGAGGGAGAGAGAGAGAACTGATTCAATTTTATTTTTTTTTTTCGATATTTTACTACATCCAACTTTTTTTCAGTTTATCAACGACTTTAAAATCGACAACGTATTTTATTTATTTAAATCATATTAGGTTTACGGATCTGCACACACGGACAGCTTAAATGAAATAGCCCCCTCCCCCTGCTCAGCCCCAGACAGGGTTAGAACCTTCGTATCTCTTTTGTATTGATCTGCTATGTGTAAGCCTTCACTTAAAAAGAGTAGTTAGAAACTTGCTGGAACAGTATAGCCGAGCGGTTTAAAGTACCCCTATATCAAACGGGTGTTCCTACGATTAAGACAGACATGTTTGTAACTTGCATGAGTGGACAATTTTTTTGAGCGTTTGTCGAGGGCGTAGGCCGGTAGATGTAAAAAAAAAAAAAAAAAAAAAAAAAATAGAATGTCAAAAAAAAGAACACACGGAATGTATTTGCCACAGATGAATCTACCAAAGAACTTTTGAATTAATATATTTTCAAAACTATCTTCCCGATTAAACGACGTGTCAATTGATCAAGTCGCTTTGTTAAAATGAAACATTTATAAAATCGGATAGCGTTTTCCTTTTTTCTGAAGAACACGAATAATTTCGGTTTTCATAATTTAGGGAATAGTTACTTATATGGTAATTTCAGCTTCTTTCAAATATTGTGTTTTTCACACGCCGTGTCGAATTTTAATAGTACCCGGTCGGCAAGCCTCAGTTCATATTACATTACGGAATATTGAACAGGTTTTTTTTTTTTAATTGTCAAATTTCATTACTATTAGGCATTTGTCCTTTACTCTCTTTGACTGACGTGAAGCGACGGGGGTGGGAGGTGAGCACTATTTTAAATAGATATAATCTAATTTTCTTATTCCTTATTGGTTTACCTGCTGGTTATTTTTCTCTTGTCCTTAAGTTAGGTACCTCCACGAAATCGCTAAAAAAAAAAAAAAAAAAAAAAAAAAAAAAAAGCATAGCTTGATGAAAAAGACGTCAACCTTGCCGAAAACAAAATTTTATTGTCTAAATGCTTATGTTATTATTAAGAGGAAAGTTTTTTTTAATTATTTTAAAAAAAAATTTCCTTCTTAGAACATTCTAAATTTTGATTAAAAAAATTTTTTTTCTATTTGTATCAGCGGAACTAATAAATAGACAATTTTTAGCACGTTTTTTTGGTATGACACATTAATTTGAAACATCGTGCAAAAATAGAAATAATTATCGGATGTTAATGAAACTTTCAGGAACTATTCACAGATGATCGAAATTATTATAAATGTTTTTTTATGAAAGTCATGGTAGAAATATTTTTAAAAATATTTATTACCCCCATAACTAATTTTATGAAAACGCTAGAAATTCGATCGCATCGGTTTTAGTGATTACAATAATTAAAAAGCACAGGGCTTTGAGGAATGCAAATCATGTTTTTTTTTTTTTTAATTGGATACGCAGTACCTGAAAATCAGCTCTGAATTGTAACATACAAAACTCAATAAAACAAAGATATTTAATTTCAAATGCTTTTATTTGCTTTTAGTTTTTTATGAATATGGACAATATTTTCTGAAAGCAAAAAATTTTTTCGATGAAAATGAATTTTAATACAATTATTTGTTATTTAATTAATTATAATAGATTTTACATTTAAGTTGTAAAAATATTATAAAATTAGTTAAAAGCCGCATCGGCTTTCATAAGTGTCCTTTTGAGATAGATTTTTTTTAGCGTTGTAAATTGTATCATTTTTTGACTAATCAGAAGATCCCCAGTAATTAAGAAATGTAATTTTGTGCTTATAATCGAGCTGTAATTATAAAATACGGAAGACCAACCAGAATATAATTAAGTTGCGTTATTTGAGTTAAGCATTGTTCTCCGCTGTTAAGGCCTTTTTTTTTTGAAACACGTGGAGAAGTTAATTTGATTTTTCAATTTCAACTGAGAAGGGTACCTACAAGTATCAGTATCATATGAAATTTATATGATCTTATTTTTATATTAATCTCAGTTACAACATTTTTCCATAAATGAAATATCAAAATTAATAAAATGAATGCAAATACAAGTAACAGTAGAATGTAATAAATGTACATAAAATTATAGTATTTTATGTACAATTCTGATAAAATTTCATAAGAAAGGTACCTATAAATTAATTAGATACCTTAAGAAATATGAAATTTAATGTCACTCTTAACAGTTTTATTATAATTTCTTTACAATATATTTCCCATAAAGGATCATAAACGTAAAGGTGAAAGCTAAGTACAAAAAAAAAAAAAAAAAAAAATTAGACTGCTGAAAGTTTTCGTTAAAATAACGGGGTAAATAATTTGTTCACGTAAATGTAAATTATTTCACTTTTCTCCTTCCGTAGAACAAATTAGCCTCATGGAATTCGTAAATATATCATTCATCACATGTCAAGAGACGCGAAAGTTTATGACCTGTTTTATTTTCAAATTACATCTTTTTGGCACAAAAGCTAAGTTAAGTTTGGTTCAAAATATTTTAAATAAACATAATTTCTGATTTTCTTAAAATAACTTTTGAAAAAATGATAATTGATATTTAAAAAAAATTTCAAAGTCAGATTTCCATTTTTTTTTTTTACATGGAAAAAAAATGGTCAATTTTGCTGACTCAAAAAAAACTAGAATTTTAACGAAAATTTCGGACGTGCTAGGAACGATTAAAAATGGAAAAAAAATACCCCAAAAATACTTTGACCTTTCCTCTTAATAATAACAAACATTTAGACGATAAAATTTTGTTTTCGTCAAGTTTGGCGTCTTTTTCATCATGTATGCTCTTTTTTTAGCGATCTCGTGGAGGTACCTACCTTAAGTAGATATTAAAATCAAAAGAAGATATTAAAGTGTGTCAAATACACGCAAAAATGGTTTC